TAAGGGCGCCACCCCGGGGGGGGCCCCCCGGGGGCCCCCGGGGGGGGCCCCCTGCGCAGGGGGGGCCCCGGGGGGGCCCCCGCGGGGCCCCAGGCCGCGCAGGGGCTCCCCCAGGCACAGGGGGGCCCCTGGGGGTACCCCCAGGGGGCCCCCAACAGCTTCTCGGGAGATGTCCAAACTATGAGGAAACATGCGGCTATTGTGGGCATGTTTTTCGTGGACTTGCCGCTGCTGGGGCTGCGGCTCTTCATGTGGGCTTACTACCCCACTTACGAGGGTGAGGCTGCCTAAACCCTAAACCCTTTTTTAGGGTTTTCCACTCGGCTGCTTCCAAGACCCCAAAACGGAGTTTAGTTATTCACTCTGCTTTCTTTCGCAGCTCCCCAACTGCCTTCCTTTGCTGCCTTTTTGCACTTGGCTGAGTCCGGTTTTGGGAAATTGAAATTTTTGTTTTCTTTTTTTGCAAATAATCCAAAAAGGGTTTTCATAATTCAAAAGAGGCTTTCAAATTCCATGCGAGGGTCTTTTGTGAAGGTCTGGCGCTCCGGGCAGCTTGAGGTGTACGTACACCTCAGAGGTGCCCGCAATGAGTTCAGGTGTACATACACCCCAGAGGAAATCTACTTTTTGTGCTTGTCTGTTTTAAAGAATACACGCAAATCCAAGTGGCTAGAAAGCCTATGGGCAACGGTTTAGGGTTTAGGGTTTAGGGTTTAGGGTTTAGGGTTTAGGGTTTAGGGTTTAGAAACCCTAGGCGTTTATATTGCATTTCGGGCTTTTGGGAACGCCGAAGCAAGTGCTTGAGAAGGGAGTTTCTGCAAGGACTTTTGCATTTAAAATTGAATTTAAATTCAAAATTAAATTTATTTTAAAATTAAATTTGCATTTATAATTAAACTTGCACAATAATATAAAAGAAACTCAACATTTATACAAATTATATGTACAAATTTTCAAATTCAACTTTAAATGCTAAATGGGCTGTTGGGTGTCAGTGCATTTTTTTGTTTTTTTTCCTTTTTACATCCTTTTTCTTCTCTTCTTTTTCTAAAACAAACTAAATTGCCATTTCTTTATTTCTTTTCTTCTTTTTTGTCTTTTTTTTGCTTTTTTTATTCCTTTTTTCGTCTTTTTTCAGGATTTTCCCCCTTCATGTTCAAAAACATTTGCTTCATTCCCATTCAGCTGACGCGGCTGCGGCAGTGCGCCGGCGCAGAACGCTCGAGGGTACAGTTCGAAGAAGAGGGGGGCCCCCTTGAGGGGGCCCCCCCCTCTTACGGGGGCCGGGGGGCCCCCCGTCGGGGGCCCCCTGTGCCGCGTTCTGCTGCTGCTGTTGTGGCTTTGGAGGACCTCGCAGCAGCGGAGGAGCTGATGCTGTCTCCGCGAGAAGAAGCAGCAGCAGCAGCAGCAGCGGCAGCAAGAAGGAGAAAAAATAATCGCTACTTCGGGGCCCCCCTGCTGCAGCAACGCAGAGACACGGGGGCCCCCTATTACCCCCTGAAGACTGCTGGGCAGCCAGAGGGGGCCCCTGACAGCGACAGCAACCCAGCGCAGCAGCAGCAGCAGCAGCCGCAGCCGCAGCAGCAGCAGCAGCAGCAGCGAAAGCTTACCAGCAGCGCAGAAGGGGCCTTCAAGGGTATCGTTTTCTGGAGGCGGCAGCAAAACAAAGAACCAACAGCAGCAGAAAGCAATGAAGACAGCCTCACAGATTATGACGCAAGGTGAGGCAGGGTTTAGGGTTTAGGGTTTAGGGTTTAGGGTTTAGGGTTTAGGGTTTCCGCGCCTGGCGTCTTGGTGGTTTTTTATGCCTTTTTTTGCTTTCTCATTTCCTCATGGTGCATTTGTGTCTTCTTCTTTGTTTGGTCTTTGAGTTGTGCTTTCTTGTTGCTTCTGCTGCTGCTGCGGGTGCTCCTGTTGCGGCTGTTGTTTACGCTGCTGCTGCTGCTGCTGCTGCTGTTGCGTTGCACCTGTGATCGCTTTAATTGCTGCCGAGCTCATTTCATTATTCTCCAACGCTGCTGCTGCTGCTGCTGCTCGTGTTGCTGCTGCTGCTCATTGTGCTGCTGCTGCTGTTGCTGCTGTTGCTCGCGCTGCTGTTCCTGCTTCTGCTGCTGCTGTTCCTGCTCCCGCTTCTGCCGCTGCTCTTGCTTCCGCTGCTGCTTCCCTTGCTGCTCTCGCCTCTGCCTTCATCCCCGCAACTGCTGCTGCTGCTGCTGCTGCTGCTGCTGCTGCTGCTGCTGCAGCTTGTCGCGGCTGGTGGCCGTGTGTCAGTCTGCAACAGAAGCAGCAAGACGGCTGCCGGCGAAGGGCTTTACAACAAAAAGAGTTTTGCAGAAGTTGCTCTATTCTTTTAGAGTGAGACAAACAGCAAAAAGAAATAAAGCATTTAAAAGATTTAAAAGATTTAAAACATTTGAAAGATTTAAATTGTTTAGAAACTTTGAAAGATTTAAAACACTTAAGAAACTTGAAGCAGCAAAAGCAGCAGAAGCAGCAGAAGCAGCAGAAGCAGCAGGAGCAGCAAAAGCAGCAGAACCAGCAGAAGCAGCAAAAGCAGCAAAATCAGCAAAAGCAGCAGAAGCAGCAAAAGCAGCAGAAGCAGCAAACGCAGCAACAGCAGCCAAAGCTGCAACAGCAGCAGAAGCAGCAAAGGCAGCAACAGCAGCAGAAACAGCAAAAGCAGCAAAAGCAGCAACAGCAGCAGAAGCAGCAAAAGCAGCAACAGCAGCACAAGCAGCACAAGCAGCAAAGGCAGCAACAGCAGCACAAGCAGCAACAGCAGCAGCAGCAGCAACGACAGCAACGACAGCAAAAGCAGCAACAGCAGCAACAACTGCAGAAGCAGCAAAGGCAGCAACAGCAGCAACAGCAGCAGAAGCAGCAAAGGCAGCAGAAGCAGCAAACGGCTATTCAAGAGTGCTACTTGACAGCAGAAGCCTGGAAGACAAGAGACAGGAGATAGAAAGACAAAGAAATCAAAATTAAAATCAAAATTAAAAATAAAAATAAAAGGAAAAATAGAAAGAAAATTAAAAAGAAAAGACAGAATGCGTGAGGCAGAATTCAGAAGAGAAGCGAGACAGAGAAGCAGCTAGACACTGAACAGAAGCAGCAGCAGAAACACCAGCCCTAGCCCAGCAGCAGCAGCAGCAGCAGCAGCAGCAGCAGCAGCAGGCGTAAAGCGAGACTGCCGCGCACAGCTATGGACAGATGAGCAGCAGTAGCCGCAGCAGCAGCATCCACAGCAGCAGCAGCAGCAGCAGGGGCGGTAGTTTGAGCATAGAGGGCGTGGGGGTTGCTGTTGCGGGGTGTACGTACACCTGGGTGTGGGGTGCTGCTGCTGCGGGGTGTACGTACACCTGGGTGTGGGGCGCTGCTGCTGCGGGTGTACGTACACCAGAGTGTGGGGTGCTGCTGCGGGTGTACGTACACCAGAGTGTGGGGTGCTGCTGCGGGGTGTACGTACACCAGAGTGTGGGGTGCTGCTGCGGGTGTACGTACACCAGAGTGTGGGGTGCTGCTGCGGGGTGTACGTACACCTGGGTGTGGGGCGCAGCAACTGGGCTCTCGCCACGGCGCTGCTGTGCTGCTGGGGAGGGGATTTCCGGTGACATTTTCGCAAAGTACCCGATTGAGTTTTCCATTTATGGCCAGTTGGATTTCCAAAGTCACTCTCACCGCCACCGTCTTCTTCTTCTACGACGTCAGCCCCTGCTGCTGCTGCTGCTGCTGCTGCTGCTGCTGCTGCTGCTCGTGCTGCTGATCAGGATGGTGGCGGTGCTGCTGTTGCTGCTGCTGGTGCTGCTGCTGCTGCTGCTGCTGCTGGTGCTGCTTCATCCGCTCGTGCCTGTGCTGCTGCTGCTGCTGCTGCTGCTGCTGCTGCTGCTGCTTCATCCGCTCGTGCCTGTGCTGCTGCTGCTGCTGCTGCTGCTGCTGCTGCTGCTGCTGCAGCACTACGCGTCGTTTGAAATAGGGCAGTTTTCGTTGGAGCGGATGCGGGAGGGCGGGTTCAGCTGGGGATCGATGGGGATCGAAACGCGGGTGGCGCTGGTGCTTGTGGGGTCGAACTTCGTCGTGCTGCTGCTGCTGTTTGCATGCGCTGCGCCGCTGCTGGACTGCTGCTTCTCTGCTTTTTTTGGGGCTTTGCGGCTGCTGTCTTTTTTCCTCGCGCTGCTCTCTTTCCGGGACTTCGGAGTCTTCGCAGATCTCTTCCAACTCAAGTCTTCCAACACTCTCCCGGAAATCGGAAAGTACTGCCTCTTCGTCTTCGCCCTCGAGCCCGTCAGCCGCTGCTGCTGCTGCTGCTGCTGCTGCTGCTGCTGCTGCTGCTGCTGCTGCTGCTGCTGCTGCTGCTGCTGCTGCTGCTGCTGCT